AATTTTGTACCAAGCACTGGCATTAATAAATGACTAAAGACTCATATGGTGATTCTGTTTTGGACTAACCACATTACTGCTGCTTCTGTTGATGTCAGTATTATCTAGAAATAATAAATGCGCTATGACAGGGAAGGCTGACACGTGGCAGCCAATTTGTTCAGATTCCCCCATGCTTCTTTTTATTGGTGTGGTGGTTCTAAATTCAGAACAGTAGCTGCCTCTGGTGTTTTGGAAGGAGTATTTTCTCTCTTGCCGCTGAGGGTAATAAATCCAGCAATGTTATCTAAACAATCCACATAAATGAAAGATTAATGACCAATAAATAGAGACAATATTATAAGATACTGTTAACCCAAGTCTCAGGACCCCCTAAGTACTCTGCATTATCATCTGGCTGTGATGTGATGAGATGCCCGGCATTCACACGAAGGACAGAGAAGAAAGGACTGGAGGTAGAAAACAGAGGGGTGGCTCGGGTGGCCAGGGCACAGCGCTGATGAATAAATCAGACCTGCTCTGCCCTCGAGCAGCTGCCACTGTGCTGCTGGGCTGTGCAGTTTCCTCGTGGTGCTGGCCAAAGTTTTGGGAAGGCCAAAGGGAGACAAGAGTTCACCAAGTAGATTAGGGAAGCAAAGTCTATCAAACCCAATAACCAAAGACTTGGACTCTCTAATGGTATATTCCATACTCAGAGAAACATAACTTTGGCCGTGACCTAACTGGCTATTTTTATTATCTTTACATTAATACAAATATTAATTACAAACTGTTGATGAAATGGTAACCACTGATTAAGCACCAAAGGTTTGTTTTTTAAGAATTAGTAATTTTAACAGGTAACTCTCAGAAGCTGGGAGAGAATATACATTTTCCCCATATATTTGTTCCCTATTAAGTTGTCCAAAATGAATTCCAAATAACTAAAACTGTGAGGTGTGACCAGATCATTGCTAACATGTGTTGATGAGTTTATCATATACCAGACATTGTCTAATATGTTGTACATATTTTCATCCTATTTAATTCTCACAACAACTCTGTGAACTACATGTTACTGTCCCCATTTTAAAGATGATGACAACATTGAAGCTTAGATTAAAATAACTTGCTTGAGGTCACATAGCTGGTCATGGTGGCTCTTGATTTGACCCCAAGCAATCTGACTGACTACAAAATCCCAGCGTTTAACCACCATTCCGTGGAAATGAACAATGTCTACAAAATTAAGCTGAAAGAGAGAAAATTTCCTCTTCTTAAAATGGAAAAAATGATTTAGTCATTCACAGGCTATGGGTAGGACTAAGGAAGATATGTAAGATGCTTAGAACACTGCCTGGGTCCCTGGTGGCTTTGAAAAGATGTTAGGTTTCATGACTGTGGTTACTATCTACCCTCAGGGTGAAGCTTAGGCCTTCTATATGCTTCGCTTGCCTTATTTTCGCAGGGGACTTGCCCCCTGGGAAGGCGGCATAGTGTTTGGTGAATAAGCTTGGTAATTACAAGCCTTGGGGCCAAACTTGGTTGGCACTTTGAAGATGAGATTAAAACACTAGCATGTGCTTGCCAAGTACCCAGCAGAACAGGGATCTCAGTGTTTGGCAGATTTTTCTATTCCAGCATTCTCTCTGAAAGCAGGATTTTCCCAGTGATGTATTTTATGAACATGTCAAAATATACATTTCCTATGTTTTTCTGATAATCAAAACAATTAGAATCTGTGCTCTATCACCTTTAAACACTAAAAAGAGAATACACCTTACCCCTTCCTTCCAAGCGCCCTATAGAATGATGGTGGCAGAAGTGATGGCTTCCTTTGTTTCTTTGTGTGCAGAGACCTTGAGGCTCGGGGATTGCTTTGGTCTTCGGTATTTAAAGGATGCTATGCAGTCAGTTTCCTTACTGGCTTAGAAAACAATTGTTCAGTGGTTGTTATGGATGGAATGTGCGTGACTCCCCTTAACTTTGTGTGTTGAAGTGCTAGCCCCCAATGTGATGGTATTGGAGATGGGACTGTTGGTTGGTAGGTAATTAGAATTAGATGAGGTCATGATGATGGGGCTCTTGTGATGGGATTAGTGTCTTTATTAGAAGATACACCAAAGAGCCTAGTGGGCATCGGGGACAACAGAACTGTAATGGTGTCCATTTTGTGGAAAAGAAAGTACAGCCATCTCCTGGGGTCAGTAGGCTTTTTTTTTAGTTTAGCAAGGGAGTGAAGAGAGGCTGGCAAGAACTGAGTATGAGCCTAGAAACATCAGATAACATCACACTTCAAAGAGCAAAAGGAAGATGATTACCAGACCTACATTTTTGACGTTTTTCAGTGAGATCATCCCAATTAAATGATGAATTTTTGCCTCAGGAATGTTGGTTTTCATTCAGAAAAATCTGATATGAAGACAGGCTAAAAGAGAGTAATGGGAGTAGTCTACTGTATTTTTTAAAATGAACTTCCCTGCTTGGGGTCCATTTATATGAATGCTAATCAGATTGACTTGGCTCCTTAGCAGATCTAAGTTCCTCAGCATCACTTCAGCCAAAATTGTTAGGGTAATAGTGTGAGGGTCTTTTGATCTTGTTGATTAACATGGAGCTTGGCTAACCTGATTATATGATTCTGCCAGAAACTGTGTTTAGATCAGTTAATACAGCATATTAAATTCAAATGAAGCTTCCTTGCGTCATCTAGTCCAGAACTGCTGTATTTTATTATTTGAAAATGAAGCTCCCTTTTTGCATAAAGAAAAAGTTTAGGTGTATAATTTATTTTTATTTTAAAAATTAATGTCTGTGTTGCTTGTTCCCAGTTAAGAAGTGAAACCCTATGGTACTACAATCATGGGTAATTCAGCATTCTATTCAGTTAATATATATTAAATGCCTGATATGTCACAGGCCATGTGTAAGGTACTGGGGATACTGTGGTGATACATAAAAGGCAAGGGCCCAACCCTGTGCTTATTTGTCTTATATATGAGATATAAAGCCATCTGTGATTTAACCCATTTTTCAACTCCGACCTCAATCAGTCTTCCTGCCACATGTTGCTGGGCCAGGACAGAAAATGGGAGGCAGTTGGGCAGATGACAGAGATCATTCAAAGGATCAGGGAGCAAGGACTGGCATTTTGCAGTCTATGTTGAAGGAAAGCAAACCCACCCTTGCAGTACAGTTGATAGACTTTAATATTAAAATAAACTTTGAGCATTTGCAAACAGTGACAGAGCTGTCCGCTTTGACACAAAACCATGTCACCCCAGCTATACAGCGCCGTACAAGAAGCATGTTGGATCAGACTGACTGAAGACCAGCCGAACATGGACAGTGCAGGGAAAACATCTGGAGTGGTCCCAGACAAAGGCAGTTTCCCAAATAAATTGGTAGTTCACCAACACGCAACAAGGGGAGACTAGAAATTCATATCAGAACCTACTGTATATAATTTGCAGTTTGCTATATGTAATTATACGCAGGCAAATGGTAGAGTAATCTGTAATGTTCTCGTTTCATAGTACAAATTGAATTATTTTAATGAGTCACCTTTTTTGTCATTAAAAGTCATGCATTAGAGAGCACTTTGTAAAGTATGTAATTGTCTGACCACTATGCTGCACACCTGAAACTAATACAAAATATTACTGAATGTAAACTGTAATTGAAAAATAAAATTTAAAGATCTTTTCCAAAAAAAGTCATGTCCTAAAGACCTACCAAAATGAAAACTGCACGGGCTGGAACGACAGTTCACCATACTCACTACCATACCCCCAGTAACAAGCACCTTTGCCATGTTTTCTGGCTGCTCAGGCGTTTTGACCCTCTATTTAGGAAAGGTCTCGCCTTGCGAATCCCGCTTCCCCAAAGGAGCAACCAGAAAACAGATTTCCCAGCCTCTCTTGCAGCTGAAGGGCATGCGATCCAGGCTCCACTGACTAGCTGCACCCCAGGCCTTCTATTCAGGAGTGAGCCGCACAAGGAAGTGGGCCTTACCCAAAACTTTTTGTTTAAAGCAGAAGCGGGGACTGAGGCATCAGGCTTTCTCCTTCTGTAAGCCTCCTCAGAACATTCTCCACCCCTCTCCAGGGGCTGGGCTAGAATACCTCTCCTCTAGGTCTACTTTTTTATTATACTTTCCCACTGTATTATAATCATGAGCATATTTTATTAGGTTGCCATCTGCTGTAATATTTAAGGTAATACTAGCTGTTCTCACAAACCAAAACTATCCAGTGACTCAAACACAAAATAAGTGTCCTGTTCCTAATCATATAAAGTCAAAGGAGGGTGCCTGGGATCGGCAGAGAGCCCTGCTGTAGGCGATAATTCAGGCGCCCTGACGTCTCCCATCGTGTGGCTTCCCCCTCTGTACCACATGCTCCCCAGGGTGCCGTGCCCATCTGAACGAGGCCTGAAGGTGGGCGTGGAGAGCCCCACCCCAGGGGCTGTGGGAGCCGGGCCCTGCTGCGGTGCTTATCACCCCTGTCCCATCCCATTGCTCGGAGCTCGGCCACGCGCAGAGGCAGTCTGGCTTCCTGTAGCTTCTTCCAGGAAAGAGGGCATCGACACCAGGAAACTATGATAAGGCGTCCTATCTTCACTCTCTGTCTCTTCACTTGCTTCTTTCTTCCTCAGCTAGAAAAAAGAATCACAGTCAGAAGCCTCCTTGTGCTGTTACCCTGTGTAGATCAGACAGATGTGCTCTGACCCGGATTCCCTTTCCTTGGCTCTCCGGTGCTTTTCGGCTGAACATTTCTGGGGATGCGGGGGGGGCACATATTCATTGGACGGCTATTTCTGAATGCTTTGCCTACAACTGCTTTTATCCCCGGGCTCCCCATGCGCTCCTCTGAAAGGGAAAGCGCTGAGCGTGTAGGCTGGGCGCCACATGGGCTCTGACTTGCTGGCACATGGAAGCTTAGGAGGTTCCAAGTCATTGCCTACCGGCCACCCACAGGCTAAGGAAAGCAGCATCTTTTCATTCTCCCTGCCTCTCCTAGGTGCCTTGTCGGCGGCCAGGGAGAGCTGGGAATACGACTCGGGCGCCAGGGACCTCCAGAGCCCGGAGCTGCAGAGCCAGCCGGCCCTGCAGAGGCTCCTGGAGTGCGGCGGGAGCTCCTCGCAGCAGCAGGCCGCTCTGCACAGGCTGCTGGCGCAGGCCCCGCGGCTCGGCGACTCCGGAGGAGGAAGCTACCTAGAGCTGGCCAACACGGTGAGTGCCCTCCGGTCCGCAGAACGCATCTCCGGGCCTGTGTGTGTTCCAATGCAAATATTTTAATTTTGAACTCCAGGGGACATATTGGGTATTGTCTTTTTAACTCATCTAATAAGCATTGTACTGGCTCCAGCATTGCCAATGATGTTAAGTGCTCCGAACACTTACAGTCGGTGACTTCACTCATTATTAAGAGCAGAATGGACTCCTAAAGGGGTTTTGGTTGGTAACTTATACAGATTTCATTACTATAAGACCAATAACAGCTTTTCTTCAACTAGAATACTTCTGTGTTACCAGAAATTACGAATTAATAGGATATGATCCTTTCTGTTCCCTAATTTGGCATTTACTCATTTGAAAAACAAAGAGGACAGTAAGTTTATTATTGTCTCTGCTTGAACTTTTAAAATATTTTCTGTTGAAAACTATGATACAACTTTGGACATAATTTTGCTTAGTTTAACCTTCCTTTTTACCTTAGGATGAATCATTACCATGACGACCTCTGGGTGAAAAGCTGTAGTCTTCCCTTGTTAGCTCTGAGACTGAGGGTGGGTGGCTGGTGGCCTGGACCATTTTGGGTGCAGAGAGTTTATAAGTTGCAATTGCTACCCAACCTCTGTGGGAAAGGTCCACATACCTACCTTGCTTCTTGACTCTGAAGTTTGAATGGTGGAATAAGTATCTTGACAACTTCACTTGTCTTGTGTATATTTACAATCTGTTTTGATGCAGAGCAGTTGTGTTCAGACTTTTCATGTTTGAGGAACATTTTCTAATTCATACATTTTGGGTGATATGTCTGAAGGAACTAACAATTCTACATACACCAGCAATAATTAAAATACAATCATTAGGCAAATCCCAATTAAAGAACATTCTATAAAATACCTGACCAGTTTTCCTTGAAGCTGTCAAGGACATCAAAAGCAAAAAAAGTCTGAGAAAGAGAAACTGTCACAGCTAAGAGGAGCCTAGGAATGGAACATTAGGTAAAAACTAAGGAAACCTGAATAAATTATGGACTTTAGTTAATAATTTATCTATATTGGTGACAGCTATACCATAATAATGTAAGATGTTAATAACAGGAGAAACTGGGTGTGAGGTATAGGAGAATTCTCTGTCCTGTGTTTGCAACTTTTCTATAAATCTAAAACTGATAAAATTTAGAATGTATTAAAAACACACACAGTCACTACTAGGTTATGGCTATGTCCCATGCAATCTGTAAAAGCATCCACAGTTATTGCACTGTTTGTCACCTAGTCACCCTTCAAGGACATTCTCGCTCAGTTTAAGGAGAACCATTAAGTCTCCTAATCTTGCCTCCCTGCGTGCTCAGGACACTAGGCGAGCATCAGTAAATATGTCACCTTTCTCAGGCATGGGCTCGGACTTAGGCTGTGCTGTTACACATCATTTGGAGCAAGTGGGACTTTCCTCTGTGCTATGTCGGCTCAGCCTTTTTCAAAACAAACATGTCAGAACAGTATGGGTTATAGCAAGAATCAATTCATCAGATTTATTTTGATTAAAGTTGACATTCATCAAAACACATTGATCAAAATTTAGTGGCACCTGCTGGGACAGATTCAGGTTTCATGGCCCACCAGTTTTCTGCAGCAAACGCAGTGTTGAAAACTGCAGGAGTTGGCTCTTTCCTGCCTCTGTGTGGCTGCTCGGTTCTTAGCCTCTTCAGTAACCTCTTGGATTTTATTCTGTTCTCCCATCTCTCCTGGTCAGAGGCCAGCTCACGCCCTAATCTTCCCATCGCCAGTCCTCTTTGTGTATTGTTGGTGAAGTGATGGAACTGATGGAACTGCCCAAGATGGCCTCTGCAGAAGCCAGTGTAAGAAACACTCCCTTAAATGTCGAGCACCCGGCTCAGGCAGGAGTGTTCACCTTACTAAAACTCATGAACTACACGTTTACAGTATGCACACTTTTATACATATATATAGAAGCTTCTGACAAACACATAGCTGATGACAGTGACTCTTCATTGGAATACATTGAATAAATAAAATCTTTAAAAAAAGAGCTGTAACTCCACAGACAAAGTTATACACTCTCGTTTAAGATGATCCCTTGGTGAAAACAAGACCATAAATGCAAATACAGGCATTGAAATCCTGTGATGGTGATTACATTATTTATTTTCTCACTGAATCGAAAATAAAAAAATTTAAAGTAGTATTTAAACTCACAGACCCTTGATAACTTTTTTGGACCCTGTGGGATAGTGAATTTTGAGCCCCATTTCTCCCCCTTTCTGTATTTTCATCATGTGTCGTGTGAGGTTGGAGTTCTCCAGTCAAATGTGAGAAATGGAAAATGATCGTTGTTTTACCCGTTGTGCTTAGTTAGAGTGGTTGGTTTCATAGCAATAGTTCATGCCTGGTCTGCTCACAGGGGTCCATGGAGTCCAGTTTGGGAAATACTCCATATAAGTGGCCAAAGAAAGCAAATAACTTCTCTAAACTGCACACTTGGGCAATGTCTTCACTTAGGTACTCACATTAAAAATAACTCATATTCCTTCCAAAACAAATGTTAAACTAATAAAATTAAGTTCTGTTTTTTTAATCCTCTAAGAGCAAAAGGTATTTTATCAGTGTCTAGTTTGGAGACAGAGAGCACACAGTAATTCACACAGGGAAAGTTTTACATATAATTTCATTAACTAGTAGCAAGGGGTTACATACTAAGAAGTAAAGAAAATGCTCATGAATGCAGGAGTAGCATGTGAAAAGAGCAGCCACTCCCTCTAAAGCTGAGACAGCGTACCCAAGGAACAGACTTAGAAGAGGGCCCACCCCTCACCAGGCCCCACTGAAGGGGGCCCACTAGGTGGCAGAGACAGTCCCTGAGAGCAGGGAGCCAGGCCTCTGGAATGACAGCCACTGGGGCGCCTGCAAGACTCATTGAGCATCACTAAGAAAGTGCCCCCCGAGGTGCCTGAGGAATTCACTGGGAAGCTGCCTGCTGCAGTAGTGGCAAAACCCACTGAGAAGTCCCCCAGATGGTGCCACTGAAGCTTCCTAGGGGTGACCACCACTATCCTGTGCTCCTGGCTTCCACCTACCACAAGAGCAAGCAGGCAGGCATCACGGAACCAGGACGGGAATGCCCTCCTTCAGTGTCCCTCCAGTGCCTCCTGTTGACAAAGGGGAAATGTTTACAGGGTCTGGCTTTGGTATCACAAAGCAGAGCATGCAAAGGGGGACTTGGAGACAAGAGGCAATAAATTGATAACTGGTACCAGCATTTTTAGAATTGAGAAGCTTCTGGGAGCATCCTGCACAGCTTTACCTTTCTAAGCATCTCTTCCCTTTTTTTCTACCACCAAATACTTGCCACCTTCCCCTGCCGAAGACAGTGGATGTTATGACTTGGAGGCTTCCCATACAGCTGGAAATGCAAAAGCAACAAGATGATGCACATAGAAACTTGTAGCAGTTAGAGTTTTATCTGAGAAGCAGAATGGCTACACATGTATGGACTAAAGGATTTTTATAAGGGTTGGGCGTTAGACGAATGTGGGAGCTGGTAGAGCAATGTATGCAGGCTCTTGATTCTGCATCTAGTATTGAGCCTGAAGTTCCTACTGTAAGTCTCTCAGATCAGCAGATAAGAAGGCAGGCTGGATGGGAGGAGAGCAGGGACAAGCTGGGATGCAGGGGGACAGATTGTGACCAAGGAGGCCCAACTGGAACCCGCTTCTGTCTCTCACCATGTCCAACCTCGATACTATGGGTGACCCGCGGGAGAAACGGGCACCCGCTGCTATAGAGCTGCACACACACCCGGCCCAGGACTCAGAGGAGCTGAAGGAGGAGCCGGGTGAGAGTTGGAGCCAGCCTGGCTCCCCACATGGGTACATGGTGGACAAGCAACAGCTGTCAGAGCATAAAGCACATGTCTGAATTTTACTTAGACTGTCTCTCGGGGCCATACAGAACCATACAGGAAAGAGAGCTCTGGAAAACATAGTCCAGCTAGGCTAAGGTGGCTTGGTACCTCGCCACCCCCGAGCAGGAGCAAAGCTGCCAGTACAGGCCGAGGCTTATTCGAAAGGCTGGGGGCAGAGCCATGTGAGACGCTAGGTTAGTGAGGGAGAGATGCAGTGGGAAAGATAATCCCTGTTCTCCCAAGGGAATTTCTCTCCCAAGCTGTGTATTTCAGGGAAGAGTCCAAGTATAGAGTGTGATGTTATAGCATCTCAGTAGTGATATATTTAAACATGATAAAAAAACCACATAACTAAGTTTTCTTTTCTGGCTATGACACTGACAGATTACTGAACAAAAATCAATTTCTTGATAGATCCTTTCAGCCACGCTACTTGTCTTTTTAAAGTATTCATTATCAACTTTATTAATTTTTATTAATAAAAGTGTGAATTAATTGATGTTAATTAAATGCAGTTATACTATAGAAGAAGTCATGCACAAGATATAAAGTATTTGAACCAGTACAGAAAGTTGAGGAAAAGTTAGTCACCTTTTATTTCCCCATCTTTCCTCGTTTAAATGGTCTTCACCAATTTTCTTTATCTGTCCCTGAATTGCTTTTAATACAAGGAACTTTCCATTTCTCCTTTTGTAATTTTAAGATGCTATAATCATTGTGGTACTTGCCAAATTTGGGATTAGAATATTGAAACCTTTGGTCAGGAGGATATGTCCCGACTTTACGACTAGAGCAAGGCTGATTGTCCCCGGAGCACTCTCTTCTGGGCACTGTTCAGAATTAAGAACAAGAAATTATTAACCATAGCGCATGCTTATCACCCGTTAGATTTTCTTAGAATTGGGACAATACAAATAAAATATCACATTTTTCAGAGCAGCTACAGAAGGCTCTAGAGTATGGTGTTGATAAAAAGTTTTCAGAATCTCAAATTGTCACTTCCAAGTGATTGAAGCTGAATTTCAATAACTAAATAAATTTGGTTAGACAGAGAGACACAGACACATTTGGCTTTGTGT